TTAAAACTGCAAGGCGAGGTGATGGATGCAACTGATTGTGGGAGGTAGTTCCGATCCTTGCAAGTTTTAGGCAGGAATGAGTGGGAATATGTTGATGTCTTGAAGCGAGGAACAGCAACTTTCTGCGTGTGGTCAGTACGAGTGGAAATGTATGACGGTGGGGTTATTAAAAGTGAACGCAGAAGGGAGTTGTTGTAAATTTTGTGGAAGAGTACGAGACGGGATATCTTACGACGTGTAGTGAGTAAAGGAATGTTAATAATTGATTTCATGTTAGTTACGCTAGCGGTACGGCGATAATCTGATAATATAAATCTAACAGCGCGATTCTGAATGCTCTCAAGTTCATTAACTAAAGTGATATTACCAGGGTCCTATATTGATGACGGTATTGCAAATGCAGACGAACGTACGTAATGTAAAAAAGCTTTTTTAAATTAACAGGGGCCATGTAAAAGTTTCTTCGCATGAATCCTAGAACCCGGTTTGCCTTACATGTGACAGAGTTGATATGATGTTTCCAAGATAAGTTTTTAGTAATATGGACACCAAGGTATTTATAAGAGGGGACTGGATCGAGTACGGTGCTGTTAAGGAAATGATTTGGACATGCGGTAGTATTACGTGAAATGCGCATAGACTTGCACTTCGAAACATTTAATTCTATTTGCCATAATTTACACCAGTTAAGCACGTTAATCAAATCTGTTTGGAGGGTAGTGATGTCATTATTATTAGATATTTGGCAATAAATTACGCAATCATCCGCGAATAGGCGCGTTGTTGAAGAAATATTGTTAGGCAAGTCGTTAATGTAAATTAGGAACAGCAATGGCCCAAGGACAGACCCCTGTGGCACTCCGGAGCGAACTGGTGTAGTAGACGTGTCGAAATTATTAGCCGATACGTATTGGGAGCGGTTAGTAAGAAAGCTACGGATCCAAGCGAGCACATATGAGTCAATGTTTAATAGGCTTAGTTTATGTAGTAGTAGGGAGTGTGTTACATTATCAAAGGCTCTGCTGAAATCTAGAAAGATGCAGTCAGTTATTGTTCCAGAGTCAAGGGATATGTGTAAGTCATTAGTAAAAAGTAGAAGCTGTGTTTCACACGAATACTGTTTTCGGAAGCCATGCTGAGCGGGTGTCAAGAAATCATTGTCTTGAAGAAACTTGATAAGGTGAGAGTAAATGACATGTTCTAAAATTTTACATGGTACTGATGTGAGAGAGATGGGACGAAAGTTACCTAGATCGTGGGTTGTTCCGGACTTATGTAAAGGTACCACCTTATTAATTACCCAGTCGTTAGGAAGCACTACCGTAAGAAGAGACTGTGTGAATATTCGTTCAAGGATTAGAGAGGAATACTCTGCCGTGTTTTTCAAGAATTTTGTGGTGATACCATCGCAGCCGCATGAAGATGAAATCTTTAGTTTATTGATGATGGACCGTATTCCTTCCGAGCTAATGACAATGATGTCCATTGAGGGAAAATTAAACGGCTTTGCAGGAAGTATGTCATTACTACTGGATGGTTCAGAGAAAGTTTCAGCAAAAGTACGGTTAAGTAAACATGCACACTGATGATCCGGAATTACATTACCTTGGGATATTAAAGACAGGTTGCTATGCTTGTTACCTCGTACAATGTTCCAAAATTGTTTGGAATTTTTTTGCAGCACTGATGGTAAGGTTCTGTTAAAAAAGGTAAATTTAGCTACTTTTAGTTCACTCAAGTAGGTAGCAGCTGCAGATTTGTAAGCTAGCCATCGAGCGGAAGACTGGGATGTCCTCGCAGCTCTAAACAGTCTTTTCTTGCGGTTAGAGAGTCTATTTAAGTGTCGGTTGTACCAGGGAGAATCAGTATTGCAGTACACCTTTCTTACCGGAATATATTTATTTGTTAGTTCCAAAATTTTACTTCTAAATAGGTTCCAGTTATCTTCTGCAGTGTGTTCAAAACTTGCAGGGAAAAAAGTATCTAAGAAAGAGCATAATTTAGTATTTATGGTGTTAAAGTCAGCTCTGTTATAATCTCTGATCATTTTAAAACGGTTCGATGAGCGCAAGCGTGGAAACGATAGAGAAAAATGAATTATGTCGTGATCACTTAACCCAGGCAGCAGTGTTATCGGGGACACTAGATTTCGAGATGACGTCAACACGAGATCTAGAAGTGATGATGTAGTCGAGGTGACACGTGTGGGATGCTGAACTAATTGTGATAGCCCAAAGTCGTTACAAATCGAAAGAAATTCGGTAGATTCAGATGACGTTGCCATAGAGCACTGGTAAGTGTCCGACCACTGAATGTCCGGGAAGTTAAAATCGCCTAAAATAATAATAGTTGCACCTGGGAAACAAACAGTAATCTTGTTTAAGCAGTCATGAAAAGAATTGCAAAAGTTCGATGGGCTGGATGGGGGTCGGTAACAAACTGCAATTATTAGGTTTTTAAAGCCAGTACGAATACAACACCATACCGATTCTAAGTCGGTGAGAACAGGAACAAGGAAACATTCAATGTCATCTTTAATCGCAAGTAGAACACCATCACCTCGTCGCTCATATCTGTCACAGTGAAAGGCCTTGTAACATTGTTCACCTTTTAATAATTCGGCATCCGAGACTGTATTCGACAACCACGTTTCAGTTAGAGCGACAATACCAGCATCACAATCATTCATCAGGGCACACAAGTCATCACTTTTTGACAAAAGGCTACGTATGTTAGTACTTAGTACAGAGAGAGCACCGCCCCCTGCGTGACCCTAACTTAGATCACTTTGTGGCATACGGCCAGACCGGAGAAGACGCAGGGAGGCAGCATGACTATTTGCGGTTCTGTATGTGGAATTACCGATGTTTTCGTCGTTACTTACAGAATCGCTAACACTTGCGCTATCTCCTATGTTATTACTAGCCGGGGAACTTTTTCTTGTTTAAGGACCGATGACGTACACTGCTTTAGTGGTTTTATCATAGCCGTAGCATTTTCCGTTGGCGAAAAGTTTCGTGTGTTGAAGATTGAACGGAACATGCAGTTCTTTGCCATATTCGTACAGAGCCTTTCTCGTATCACGCGTAGTTGCACAAAAGTCCTCACTCATAGAAACATTGCAGCCTTTTAGTAAGAAGCGTTTATCAAAAACGGTTTCTTTTGTTTTGTAGGCCGAAAATTTTACGATAAGAGGGCGGTTCCGGCCACTAGAGAATTTGCCAATTCTATGCGCACGGGCTATACTATCCGACGATATCGTCAGCTGAGGCTTGCTAGCGAAAAGTTTAAGAACTTTCATTTCAGATTGTTCGGCAGTCTCTAAAGCGACATCTTCAATCCCAAAGAACACAACGTTGTCCCTTCGGGAGCGGTCCTCGAGATCGTCAAGACGGGTTCGAAGCGAGTTCGTTTCAGTTTCCACGCGCTCCACTGCAGCACGTGTCGCATTAAGGTCTTCTCTCACGCTGTCGAAACAAGCTAACTGGCTTTCCACAGAACCCAGACGCTTGCCAAAGTCGGCAATTTGGCTCGTAGCTGCTTTCGGTTGCTCCTTTAACTCGGATATGTCATTGGACATGGCTGTTTGGGATGCCTCTATTCTAATAGACCGCGCGGACAAGTCCTTCAGCATTTTGGCAATATCTGCCAAAGAATTATCGCCAGGACCAGGATTTTGCTCCACATCCCCACACATAAGCAAGAAAAGGGCACTGAATGGTTCAAGCAATGCTTCTGGGCATGGAAGCACCACAAAAAAGCGATCATCAGATTTGAAACAGGAATGAGGAAGTTGACTAAGGTAACTAACCTGCGAAACAACGAAGAACCATGGTATGAGCATTGTTCTCTCGGCGTCTCCATGCCCACTGGCGAAAACTAGCGCGCGTCCTGGGTTTGTAGGCCGCGGTGGAGCCACTGTTGCAACTGGCGATGTCGATCCGGGGTAGCTCGCAACGAAGCTTGCTTGAGCCGGAAGTGTAGCAGGAAGATGTGGTTCAAGCGGCGTCGATGAGTGCGTGGATATATGCAATAGGCACAGGCCGGTACTGTTGGCGGCGAAACGCATGGCTTGGGGGCTGTCAAGGGAGACACTCATGCTGCTATCACCCATCAATCCACCGGGCTGGAAGCCGTCAGTGCAGGCGCCAATAATCTGCGAAACAACGAAGAACCATGGTATGAGCATTGTTCTCTCAGCGCCTCCATGCCCACGTGCAGAAGCTCATGATACGCAGAAGCTCATGAGTCATGTCGCAGACATCAGCTTGGTTTGCAAAACAAATGTCAACCACCTATGTCACAAGTCTGTCAGTCTCTGGACTAGACTTTTGACATAGTTTTTGTCCCCTCTGGACGAGGAACAAGGCACGCAACAGTTTTGTGCGGTCACATAGCCAGCTGTTTTTACCTTCAAGCATCCTTGGGCCCACCTTGCTTGTTGCTTCATGCACTTCAAGACCTTGAGTTGGAGAATGGCTCCAAATAATCAACCATTGCACGCCAGAGCACTGCAGGTCACGGGATCGAATCCCGGTTGCGGCGGCTGCATTTCCGACGGAGGCGGAAATGTTGTAGGCCAGTGTGCTCAGATTTGGGTGCACGTTAAAGAACCCCAGGTGGTCGAAATTTTGGGAGCCCTCTACTACGGCGTCTCTCATAATCATATGGTGGTTTTGGGATGTTAAACCTTTCATATCAATCAATTAATGCACGCCAGAGCAAACAAGCTCTGCAGCCATGATGAGGGAACCATTAGCTTCCTATGGCAGCAACAACAATAACAATGAAAAAAATTAGAAATATGTTGTGTTCGTGCTCCTTTGAGACAGTTGTTAGTCAAAACTAAAAGTGCATCGATGCTGCATGAATGAGTTTACACCTCACCAAGAACAAGCAGTACGCACAAAATTTATGTACACAGATCCGTGGTTCTATGATACCATTGACAGAACACATTGTTGTGTGAGTAGAAAAGAGCCACCACGTTTTTTTCGCAGGCTGGGTCAAGGTTCTTTGCAGCGCAAGGTAGCTCATGGGATGAAGCCAGTCGACTGACTGTGCAGGCTACCACCAAGCCATGCCCGAAATGCCGGACACCCACCGAACGCAGTGGTGAGGGGCAGGTTGTTTGAAAAATTTCTGTACTCTGAGTCAAACTGACATGAATCTAGCAATCTACAAAGTGTGCACACTTCTAAAATAACTTGCAAACTAACGACGATGCTTATGATGCACTTCAGAGGTGCATAACCGTGAAAAGACCAGAAGAAACACCAAAAGAAGTCCTTCTTCTATTGTGCACCTCTGCAGCACAGCATTACCTTCAATATGACATACTAACTGGTCTCAATAGAAGCACTTTTGAACGTTATTGCATAGTAATGTGAGTTTCAAATGAATGACCTCACTCTCAAAAGGTGTCTTAAACTCATGGCTAAACAAATGACACTTGCAGGAAGTAAATGTGTTTTAACCCTGTGAATGTGTTGTACCGCTTCTACAAAAATGTAAAAGGTGGAAACTTTTTTTTTCTCTTAAATGCTTTGTTGAAAATATTTGGCAGTTGTAATAGGTCTATCTCTGGGACATGTAAATATCACTTGGAGAGCACTTTAGACAGTAGGAAAATTCAAGCGGTGCTAAAATTTACTGCCCAACTCGCTTCATCCCTGATGTGTTTTCAGGTTGGTGAGATGTGTCTTTAGCGGGTTGTTCCTTTACCAAACAAAATGTCACCAATTAATATAGAATATATAAGAAACTGCTCAAGGAGGCTGCACAGGCGTGGAACTGCTGCAAGAAACAGAGGAAACTATAAAGAAACGTGCCATGCCACCCAACATAAAGGATCTGGGGAAGGTCAGAATGCAGAACAAGTGCAGGAAACACTAACCACATGAAAGATGAGAACAAGGAGAGCGCTACTTTTTTCTTTGACTTTTTATGTTGGTCTCTCTTAAGGTTATTGCATTGTAACCACATTTCTCTGTATTATGGTTCTTATACTAAACACACCGCTTACCCATTGTTTAACCCTCAGAGAAAAACTTCCAGATGGTCAGATAGTATACTTATTGTGGTTTTCAATGTACGAAATCTCTAATGTCGGGAAAAAAACATTTTGAACAGCTCTTTGGGGTCAGCATTATTCAGATCTGCAAAACGTTCAATAAAAGAAAGCGTAAATTTCAGGGCTATTTTTCTTGTTAGGCACAATTTATTGAGAACTATTAAACAATAATGCCAAAGAAAGTATAGAGAACGTTATTAGAAGTCACTATTATGTCAATGTGAAGAAAGAATAGGGGACAAAAAGATAGTTTGCCGTGAGCAGGGACTGAACCTGCGACCTTTGAATAACGCGTCAGCGGCAGAGCTCAGTAGTAGAGCATCGGACGCATTATTCGGAGGTCGCATGTTCGGTTCTTATCTACAGAAAATTTGTCACTTTTGCGTTATAGTTATATTTAAAACCGCTCAGTAGTATTTTAGCGCATAGTATTTCTTGAAACACAGATCTACACACAGTGCCTTATCGCCGTCTGCACGCACAACATCCATTCTTAGAGCGACAAGTTGTGCTGGTGAACACACGGCACTGTCTTTGCAAGTGGCCACCTTGGGCAGAGTGAATCGAGGAGAATGAGAGTATCTGATGAGTGTCGTTGATAAGCATGGAAAGAGAAGTACCTAAAAATTGAAAATTGACCTCCTTCGCCCCTTCAAGGTTGTACCGATAAAAGTAAAAAATCAAGCTTCATGCCCGCCTCCATTGCAATCATGCCACGACATCAGAGCCGTGAAGGGGCGTTGCTCAGTGGCGTTGATGCAGACCATGCGATGCGCTGACGTTGGAAAGCAGTTATATTTATTTCTGCAAAAAAGAAGCACAATAATGTCCAACCCTTCTTGTAAGTCCTAGGAGGAGGCAGCACCTCCCAGTGTGCATGCACCATCATTATAAGAAACCTGCCAACTCTTCCGATTTTCTTGTAAAATGTACGAATTTCGACCGCGCTTACAATTTTGCAAATCTTGCCTGAAATTTTATGAGAAATATTTTATTTTCGATTTCAAAAAACTAAAATTAGTAAAATAGTGTGGCCTCTGCAATTGGCTACGGTGCATTGCCGTAGCTAGTTGTGGGGGCCACAAAAATGGTGTTGTGCTATATTCTGCCACCAAGAAAGAACAATATATATTGGTGTTATCAAATACCTGCAAAGTCTTCCACATTGTCCAGGAGAGTCTTTGGTTTCGACCGTTTCTCCTGTTTGTATGGTTGCCATGAAAATCTTTTGGAAATTGAAATTCGTTTGACCAAACGCAGGTCAGCCCATTCGATGCTTTTTGCAAGCCCACCGCATTTTATTATTAACAAATTTGAGAGGCATTCATCTAAACGCACAGTAGAGTCTCAGTGATGCAAAACCACGGCAGATACCAAATCGTGAAATTCCCCAGCCAGATTCATGTGTTCATTGGGCCAAAATTTGAATATTAAACACTTTTCCTAATCGCGGCGTGTGATATAAACTTTACTACCCAAACCGTTGAACAAAGGCCGATCGGAAGTGGTATGCTCGAAGCTTCGCAAGTAGGCATTCGACAAGCGCATGCACTGTCCTTTACAGTGCGTGTGGTTGTCGTTGCCACAACCTCTGTTGACGAAACCGCGGTCTTTCGACATGATCATGTATGGCGACGTTACTGACTGAACTCCGAAAGTATGCGCGCAGCCAACGCTTGGCCAGTCGCTGATCTCATCAAACGCAACGCTGAAGCAACACCGATTTTCGCAAACTGTGGACAAAACCGTGGCAGTTGCATCATAGATAGCATAAAACGACTTAGTTTTGAAGGCACATGGATTGAAAATAGAACTTCAGTTTGCCCCAGCCACTGCACACGAAACCGCGGTCGTTGCGATGCGATAGTGATCTTCGAGGTCCGAGGGTACGTGGCTGACGCACCCGTAGATTTAAGGCAGTAACGACGCAAAAAAGGCTAGATGTGTTTTGGCATTCCTATTCAAAGAATCTAGTAGCGAGCAAAGCCAAAGCTTCGCGGCAGCCAGCTGCGCTGTCCCATCCGTTCATGTGTAAAAACATAAGCGAGTTTTGCTGGAAACTGATTTTTTCGCTAGTTGTTATGATGACGCGGTGTCAAGAGCATTTGCGCTCTCGCTTTGAGACTCTCACCTTTGTGGGCGACCGTACTTTCGTGTGTGCGGCTGTATTAATTCATTATAAGACCGCAACACCGATGTTTGCGCTTGTGTTTGGGACCCCCCTTCCTCTTTTGTTTTTAATGTTTTTTTGTTTTTTTTTCTTTAATGCAAAAAAGGGGGGAAGGTAATTCAGGGCATCAATTTGACTTATGGCAGCACAACATGATTATGCTTGTCGCTAAAGGCAAATCCATCATGGCTACAGATTAAAAAAAAAAAGTCAGCACCCCCCCCCCCCCCTCCTTCTCCACTTGGGGGTTTTATGAATTTCTCTGTTTCCAGGTATATTAAGTGTGAGAATTTCAAGGGGAATGTCAAAAACATACCCATACCACCAAGACATTGCAGGACAGAGAACTGCTACTGTACATGTACAGCAAAAGCACTCGATGTGTTAAATAACACCGCTCAAAATACCCAAATGAGCTTTCTTCTTGCAGTCCTGGCATCTTAGAAAAGTGAGATGAACTGGGAATTAGTTTTGGTAACCGGAATTCCAAACTTATTTTTCTGTAAGCCGTATGATAACTGCTTGGACATTTTCTTCTTGTGCTGAATTTCTATCTTATCTTGCCCTCCGCTGTTCACTTTGTTGGAAATGTGTGTACCATTTGTAGCCCTTGCAGTAAAACTTTGTTAATTACAATGTGTAATATATGGGAAAGAGGCATAGTTGCCCAATGATCATCAAGCACATATTTATATTTCTCAATTTGCAACCAACAAAAAAATAATAAATGCAATGCCTGAACTGTCTGAAAAACTCCCAGGCCAGCACGGAACACGCAGCACAGTGACAACAAAATCTGGAAGAGCAGCCTTTTTATTGCCCATTGTAGGCTCTCTCGGGGCAACTAATCAAGCACACCTGCAAAGTACCTACTGCACAATGAATCACAGTAATTTTCATGAAGCAGGGAAGCACCCACTACATATCCCATTTTTTTGTCATTCAGGGAAGGAGCATGGTACCTGCTACACACCTGTATGGTCTAGTGTGCATTTTAGGCAGTGACTGATGAAGAATTATGCTGAGCTCTTTGGAGGAAGGGTTTGCAAGCATTCAACTACCAATGTGTGTTGAAATTCACATTGTATGATGCCTAGCTCCTATGTTACTCTGCTACTATATTATATTACATTCGTTAATGAGATTCCTTGCTAAACGGGATGCATGTGTTGGATATTTTTGCAAGAGAGTTACATGCACTAGTTTAGCTTTATAATAAAATACTCAGCTGCAAAACAAAGGGCCCAGATTTAAAACACATCTGATAATAGTGCCATTTCCCTCATTTCATTTTTTTTCTGTTTTATCTTGTAGGAGTTATGAACACTGGTGGAAGCAGTGGCAGGCAATCATAGCACCAAAATCAGCTGTTGTTGGGATTTCATAACAGCTTTCTCTGCCAATTTTGGTTTTTTTATGGTATCCAAAACTATAGCGCATTCAAGATGGGACAAAGCGAGACACATAACACGCATAGACGGTGCTAACTTTCTAGAATACAGTTAATTTAGAGAATAAACAGTACAAACAGTCACTTATCTTTTAAAGAAATGGAGTATTTGAGAATGACATTAAGATATTCATGAGATATTTGATTTTTCGTGGCTTGTGGTTTGATTTTACCATCACTTGGGGCTTCCCAAAAAGACACTCACGAAATTTTTCACAGTGGTGAACAATTGCCATCATCTCTTTTTTTCACTCTGGGCATACTTTGGCTGCGTTTCTGTGAAGGAACGCAATGAGCATGCTAGTGGATGCCCATCCTGCATGATTACTGCTCCAATTCCATTCTGACTGGCATCTACCGATGGCCTAAGTGATTTGCCCTTCCATTATAGTACTAATGCTGCCACAAGTGCTTTCTTCAGAGTCTTGAAGCTTGAATCTTGGCATTCCTTCCAAAGCCATGCTGCATTCTTCTTTATCAGTTCTTTAAGCAGTGAAGTATTGAGAATAAAGCGAGAGACAAAATTTATCATGTCCAGGAACGTTAGCAGCTCTTTCTGGTTGCTTGGTAATTACACTTGCAAGATGTCTTCTAGCCACTGTGGATCTAGGCTTAGTCCGTCACGCGTCAAAAGGTGTCCCAGGCACCAGAGAGATTCCTGTAAAAAAACTGCATTTCTTACTGTTTAATTTTAGTTTGTACTCTTAGCATCATCGCAGGATGTCTTCGAGATTGACATCTTGGTGCCTTCTCGTGTGGCCCCATAATAGAATGTTGTCTAGGACAATCGATACACCGTCGAAACCTTCTAGGACTTGGTGGATGGCACCCTAAAATATTTCTCGTGCTGACGAGATTCAGAACAGCGTGCGTGAAAAGATATAACAGCCATGTGGCATAAACAAAGTGCAGATCTTGAAGCTTTCTTTACCTAGCTCGATCTGGCAAAACCAGGAGGCTGCGCCCAAATTCGTATGGTCAATTTTCTACAGCGGCACACATGAACTACCATGTTTGATCACATGACCATAATTGGCCTTTTTCCACCCCGCTGTGGTGGTCTAGTGGTAAGGTACGTGGCTGCACACTCGCAGCTTGCGGTATTGAATCTCGGCTGTGGCGGCTGAATTTTCCATGGAGGCGAAAATGCTGTAAGTCCGTGTGCTCAGATTTGAGTGCAGATTAAAAAACCCCAGGTGGCCGAAGTTTCCGGAGCTCTCCACTATAGCTTTTTTTATAATCATAGTGTGGTTTTGGGATGTTCAACCCCAGATATCAATCATCTGGCCTTGTCCAAGCCAGTTGCTCAGCCAAAGCATTCGGACAGCGAATTGGCCATGACCACAGCTGAGGTTAGAAGCCAACACAGCAGCACTCATGCAGACCCGACGGCCCACTTTGATCCAGACTAGCGCTTGCTACTCACTCATTCTCATCACAGCTATGGTGAGTAGCTCATCACAAATGGTGAAATCAGCTACCGCTTCGTTTCATCTGATGCTGGGAACAAAGCATCATCTATGTTCTGTCTTTATTAAGGAAATTAGCCATGCTTGCTAACCTTTCCGAGGATTTGAGAATAAATCTTGAAAACACAACAAAATACTGATGAGTACATCGTCCTAGAAGCTTCAGGACACAAATATAAAGCAAGTATATGCGCGCATAGTGAACTTGTAGCTCCTACAGTGCAAGACGGTGAATTGATAACGTCGAAGCAGTAGGAAACTGCATGTGTAAGCATCGCCATGTTAAGTTTTTCGTTACGACCATCTGACCATCGATCCCGGAGCGTCTGTGCGACACAGATGTTGAGCAGTGCTGCAGAAGGCTACGGTAGAAGGACGACCCTGGTAGGGAGACAGTAACCGTCCACTGCTGCATATTGACGGAGATTCAGCGATCGTTTGTTCCGACACTCATCAGCAAAAGCCAGACAAGTCATCCGCTCTACTGCCACAGTCTTTGTGTTCCCCATCATCGTTTCCAAACGGCCCAACCGAGAACACCGTAATACATTCGGTGCTTTCTTGTACCAGTGGCACTCATCACCAGATGCAAGTTTACGTAGACAAGCAGGGTTCGCGGCAGGTACCAAATGCTTTCACAAGAGCTTGGGCACGCACTAAAATGCCTGATAGGTATATTGGGAGGCATTAGGTTTCAAAGCTGTTTCGGATGCAGCTGTGGCGATTTGACTGACTGAGCATAATAGACTGTACGAATTTCCGAACTGTTTCGTGATCTCTAGGGATATTCGAATACTAAAATTGTGGTGGGAATCGAATAGCAAACATTATTACAAAAATATTCTAAAGTTGAATATTAGCACACTGCTCTTTTATGCTTACATAACTCCCAGCGAAGATTTCCTTGGTAATTATTTTTTTGTTATAATTATGCATTGTTTTTTGAAAGAGACCTTGAAATTTATAACTGCTTTAGGTGCTAAAGAGCACACTATCCAGTTTTCTTGTGCTTTCTGTGCTCTTTAGTGTTTGAATTAGGGTTCCTCATTGCAAAGGCACATCATGGTAGCCTAGTTTAAACCAGTTATAAATTTGTGGCAGGGTTGTATGTTGCAACTGTGCATTGTTCATTGTTTGTTCTAGGTGGCTGTATGCATATGGTGTGCAGCAGGTCGCAGTGTGGGTTCCAGTGGTGCTGGCTGTGCCAGGATGAGTGGACGCGGCAATGCATGGGGGCCCACTGGTTTGGATGAGAACGCTGACCCTTTCCTAGCCCTTTTGCTAGAATGTGGTGCAGTGTGTACACCTGGTCAACACTTCAGTGTGCGGTGACATGAACCTTATACATAAACGCACACGTCATCCAACGACACGTAGTTAAATGTGGATGCAAGTTACCTGGGTGTGCATCACGACTCTCTTCGTGGGAAGAGGTGTCATGTGCTCAAAAATTGGGCTTGCACCATATTCTTAAGTGCTCATTGCTAAGTTTTATAGTCTACATTTTTACAAAACCAGCAGGCATTTATATTTACACTGTACTGTACAAGTATTGCAGCTACACAGGGTTGCTGGAGTACACTTACTGTGATCATAAGAGGCTACAGTAGCAGCAGAGCTGCATATATTGTGCACTAACCCTTGATATTGATTATTATGGTTCACAAGCAGTTGTTGGAGTTCATTGCGAATATTTATGCCTCTTGATGTTAGACTTTATCTTTCTCAATAAGGCTGTGAGCAATAGACTTTCTTTTTGTTACCAGCTTGCTCCTTTTGTTGCTTAGTGTAATGGTGCTCTCCTTGTGAGAAGTTGTTTCAGGCTATCTCATTGACTTGAACTGCTGAACAGATGTGGTGTCTAGTCCAACACTCACTTTTAAGTGTTCTGCTTTGTGCAAGTGTCCGACACGCTGGAACAGTGGTTAGGGTGGTCGGCTGCTTACCCAAGGATTGCAGGTTCGATACCAGCTGCGACGGTTGCATTTTGATCCAGGTGAAATGGCAGAGGCTCGTGTGCTCTGTGATGTCAGCGCACGTTAAAGAACAACAGATTGTCAAAATTTCTGCAGTCTTGCACTACAGCGCCTCTCATAATCACATGGTGGTAGTGGGACGTGAAACCCCAGATATTTTTATTATTATTTGTGGCAAGCAATGATTTCAAACAAATGAGGTCTGAACGAGTTAGGGACACATGGGCTGCACCCAGAACCATAAACGATTTGCATGTAGCGGGCCTTGGCATCCTTGTAAGTATTTGCATCTCAACAGCTCAGGGCCACGTGAACTGCACAGAAACGTCAGACAGGACATCATACTACTGCTGCACAATTTCATTGACAGGCAAGGTTCTGCTGAATGTTGCATAAGAATTGCTATTTTCTACCAGTGTTAGTGGTTAATCCATGTCACTGTGGGAGTCATTATTTTGCCTTCATCACTACGGACAGGTTCAATGGCTACTGCTCTACCAATGATGTCCTAAGGGGCGTTTCTCCTCAGGTAGGGTCACCCGAAGCTGTTAAAGTGAAAATATTTTTCTTGGACTTAGTGCCCTTGTGTGAGAAGGTATATCAGATGTGCTAACTGGAGGGGTGTTGCACATCTCTTGAAGCATATACCACTCAGATTCCAGGGTTTGTAACATTGTTTTTTGATGGGGTTTCAGGATTGACAAGCTAATAGTAAACAGCATATAAAATTTTATAGGCGTGGCTAAGATACTGAGATACAGACAGAGAACTTTATTTAAAGGGCCAGTAAGCAGCCCTGAGGTAAAAAAATTTTTAAAAAGAGATGAGTGTGCAGTTTTTTTTTTTGCGAACATGCGGCCGCAAGAATTTTGTGAATACGTGGCATACTACGGAAGTTACAGGGATTAGAACATTGGTCTAATAAATTGTCTGAAATAGGAACACAGCCCCAGGAAACTTCGGTCATCAAAAGGAATACGAGGAGTTGGAAACTCGCGGACTGCACGCACTTTGTCGGGATCAGGCTGTATGCCAGTAGCATCCACCGGGTGACCGAGGACGCGTAACTGACGATGGCCTAAATGACATTTTGCAGAATTCAGCTGTAGGCCTGCTCGTAGGAAGACGTCAAGGATGGCCGAGAGCTGATGGAGGTGGCTGTCGAACGTCGGTGAAAAAACAATAAGGTCGTCGACCACGTAGAATAAAGTCCACCATGCATTATAAGGTGGCCGGGGCATTACATAGTCTGAAAGGCATGATTTTGAATTGGTAGAGACCGTCTGGAGTGACAAACGCCATTTTCTCGCGATCCCTGTCATTGACAGCAATTTGCCAATAGCCAAAACGTAAATCGACCGAAGAGAAATAACTGGCACCGTGTAAGCAGTCTAGTGCGTCATCAATACGCGGAAGCGGGTAAACGTCCTTTTTTGTGATCTTCTTCAGATGACGATAATCAATGCAGAACCTCGAAGCATTGACCTTCTTTTTTACTAAAACGACAGGGGACGCCCATGGACTGAAGGAGGGTCCAATAAGATGCTTGGACAGCATTTCCTTGACCTCTGTTTGTATGACTTACGTCCTGCCGCCGACACACGATAATAGGGACGCCTATGGATGTGGGTTCATCCTAGCGTGCGGTTGTCGAAATCACATATGTCTTTCTAAGTCATCAAAACGCGATGGAGGGTGTCAGCCTAAGAAGGTTGTAGGTCAGGAGCTATCATTTTGTTGAGCTTCTCATTAGAAGGCGTTGTCGGGGCCGAAGGTCGAGCAAACGCTGATGGTTGTTGATGGCTTAGTTCACATACTCTGGAGTCGTCCAAAGGGGACAACACAGCAAGAGATACGCCCTCAGGAAGAGCTTGTGGTGACGAGCCAAACTTCAGGAGAGGAAACCAAGCGCAGTTGTTGGTGAGCGTGCAGATGCAGCGAGGGAGAGCTATTTGACGTTCTAGTGTGACGGTGTAAAGTGGAGACACGATGTAAGTACCATTTTGAAGTGGTTGGCAAGGCGACATGTTGCAGCTGAACAAAGTCAGTAGACCGAAGTCGGGACTGAACGTCTGCGCAGGTGTCGGTACAGCATTGGGGTAGCTCAAGCTTCAGAACCTTGGTTGAACAGTCGATAAGCGCAGAACGAACCCTCAAACAGTCTATTCTGAGCATCATCTCGTGGGGCACTCGGCAAGTACAGTGAACAGAACCAACGTTGAGCGGTCGGCGATGGTGATAAGAGCGGTACACATTCCCGTGACGGCAGTTGTGCTGCCGTTGGCTACTCGTAGGACAGACAATTCGGTGGGCGTTAGCACTTTGTAAAGACGGCTACGAAGGTCAGAGTGCATGACAGACACCTAAGTTCCAGTGTCAATGAGGCCTTTATTGGGCACATGATCAACAAAAACTTCAATCAGGTTTCCTTTATGGGCGAGGCTCAATAGAAGTTTTGTAGTCAGAGTCGTCAACGCAACCTCACCTCTTGGGGCTGCATTGGTTAGTTTCCCGAGAATTGCCCTGGGTAGGATGGGGACAGAGGTTGCCGAGATCTAGCTGAACGGGACTGTCGACGCTGCGGAGAGGGCGAACGGCTAGTGACGAACCGAGGAGGAGTGGCAGGGTCAGCGTAGGACGATTTGGCGTGTGGCGACAGAGGATGAGTTGAGCGTTAATAAGGACGGTCATATATAGCTGAGGCGATAAATTACAGCGGCTATGGTAGTGGCAGGAGATATGGCCGATCCGGAAGCACACGAAGCAGATTGGTCTGTCATTCGGCGATCGCCACTCAAGACAGGTTTGGTACTGGTTCGCCGAATACTGTCGGGGCGTAGCAGAGGCAATGATCGGGGCGGTCATGGTGAGACGTGGGCTACCGGCGGATGGTATGTTCATATTTGCAATTTCTTGGCCAACAACAGTTGGTATCAGCGAGATTGTCAGGTTGCCATGCGAGTGGGGACCGCGAGAGTTCGGAGCCGTAGAGCCTCAAGTTCGGGACGTATGGCTTGCGTAAAACTTGGTGATGCTGGTTGATGCAGCGGTGCTGGTTCATTACAGGACGAGGTTGGAGCCGTATTAGGAAGCCGGTCGAAGCGTTGCACTTGCCTTTTGCTTGCTCAAAGATGCGGCACTCTTTGATGAGGGAGTCAACTGTTGTGCAGCTCTTACATAACAAGAAGTTGAACGCATCGTCGGCGATGCCTTTCATGATGTGTCCGACCTTATCTGCCTCCGACATGTTCTCATTGACTTTTCGGCAAAGTGCCAGGACATCCTAAATGTAGAAAATGCACGATTCAGTGGACGTCTGGGCACGAGACGCGAGATTCTTCTGGGCTTCTGCTTGGCGTCCGATTGGTTTCTCGAAAAGATCTTGTAGCTTCTCTTTACAGATGTCCAAACTTGCCAGTTCAGCTTCGTGCGTCTCAAAACACGCCTTTGTGGTGTCCCCCAGGTAAAATATCACGTTCCCCATCATAAGTGTTAGGTCCCACCTGTAACTCTTGGCGACGTGCTAATACGTCGACAGCCACTCATCAACGTCGACCTTGCCAGTTCCGGTGAAGACCCCCGGGTCACATAGCGGAGGCATCACGTATTGCACTTGCGCCTGAGCGGCCGGTACACTGCTGTTAGTTATAGCAGCGAAACCGATGTGATGTCTGCTGCGGAGATTCAGCTCCGACTTCCGCAGAGACGCACCCAGCACTTCCACCAAAATGATACGCAAAGAGTTGAAGTTGCAGACGCCCTAAGGCAAATGTGACACAATCGGTTCTGAGCCCGAGACGCTTCAACCTTTTCTATGGCTAGGAGCATCCTCTAGTCGACATTGGAACCAACACCTACGTAACAATATGTGGGGTTGAACGTCCCAAAACCACCATATGGTTATGAGAGACGTTGCAGTGGAGGGCTTCGGAAATTTCTACTACTTGGAGTTTTTTAACGTGCACCAAAATTTAAGCACATGGGCCTCAAGCATTTTTGCCTTCATCAAAAATGCGGCCGCCGCAGACAAGACTCGATCCCACAATTTGCGAGTCAGCAGCCGAGTACCTTAGCCACTAGACAACAGCGGCGGGCTGGCCCACTGGTAGACCAGTTCAAGTTGTAACGGAAAAATAGCAAGCCACAAAACAGATAACCAACCAAAAAAACTGTATAAAAAGGAAAAAATATGTACGTTAGAAACTACAGCTAAAGTAACTACTGCTAAACTACTAAAGAACCATTAGTTGCTCCATAAATTCACATAAAGACATACATTCACAAACAGAGATCCAGCAAGTTTTTGTTAGTACTGTTTAAAACATCAACATTTTTTGGTATAGATATATTCAGAGTAAAATCGATTACATGATCAAGTTTTTCTTTCCCATAATGAGTACCCGTGAAAGGAACGCGATATGGAGGGTGTTACCTAAAAGGATAGAAAATTTTATTTGCTCGAAGAATCGCGATTGCTTCAAATAGTTGTATTCTTCCTAATATAACATTTTTATATGTCTTAGAAGTTTATGTTTGCATATGTTCTGAATCTTCATGATTTTATGTTTTTAGAATAAAGAGTCTGTGTGTTCCAGATACGAGGAGTTTTCTATTGAACGAAGCGCTTTTGTTTCGGACTGCTGTAAGTTTGATACTGTCATGTTTCCCCATATTAAAGTGCAATAATATAAGTGAGAATTAAAAAGAACAAAATATAACATCCTTTTATTGATAACAACAAAAAAGTGATGGTTCTGATTTAATGCATCGGTGGCTCTGCGAAAATTTGGCAATAAAGTTTTCTCATGGTCATTCGAGAAAAAGGATTACACCAAGAACTTCAATCTGTTTTTTCTATTTTTATTTAAAATCGCCCAAGTGTTATAAGTTGACCAACTTTACCTAAAATGCTGGAGGCAAGGAACAACACACATTTAGTTTTCGATTTATTTAGAATAAGCCTATTCAACCTACACCAGGTCTTTAAATTATGGCAGAATGTATTACTTTTTCATGGTGTGGTCTCCAAGTCTTTTGCATGAATAACTGCTAAAGAGTCATTGTCATATATTATTTACTTACAATCGGCATAGATAAAAATATGACGTCTGGGCTGAGACAGCGTTTATTCAGCCCAAGGGCTCAGCAAAGAACAAGCAGTCTGAGACCGAGCGCCCCTACACTCGATGATGATTGTGGTGACACCCAGTGAAGATGAGGACAAAGACCCAGATGGAAGATGATGATTATGATAATGCATATATGAGAAAAAGCACATAATGAATGCTCACACTAATTACCCCCACATCGGAGCGGCCAACCTTGCCGTTGCAAGTCAATGTGACAGAGAATGTCACCTGAAAGGCTTCGTGCGAGACACGTTAACGATATCTGTGGTGCAGTGACAGTGGTCTGTTGGGACGACAAGTGGGGTTACACGATAATTAAAGGGCGAAGTCTGCTCAATAACTATGTAAGGTCCAATAAAGTGTGGCTGAATCTTGCCACATAGACTAGGTGTACAAATAGGTGTGAACAGGAGCACCTCGTCACCAGGTCGGAAGAATACAAGGCGATGGGATACGTCATAAATGACTTTTCGATCTTGCTGTTACGCTTTCGTGTTGATGCGAGCACGATCGCGACACTGAGCTTGTCTTGAAATGTATTCCTCGCTGGAAGACGGAGGTGACTTGATGTGACTGTTGAAAAAGAAAACGCCGAGGAAAGAAGTAAGGAAACGTCCATAAACGAGGTAGAACGGCGAATATCCGGTGGTGCGCTGAATGGCCGTGTTGTAGGCAAAGGTGAGGAATGGTAGAAGAGTATCCGAGTTTTCGTGGTCTGGACTGATGTAGATGGCTATCATATCAGCAAGAGCACGGTGAAACCTCTCAATGAGACTGTTGGTCTGAGGGTGGTATCTTGAAGCTGTCTTGTGTGTTATCCTAGAGGCCCGCTATACTTCATTCAGCACTTGTGACAGGAACACCCCTCCGCGGCAACTCGGCAATATACGAGAGGCGCCATGGTGCTGAATGATGGCGTGCAGTACGAAGTCGGCAACTTCCGAAGCAGAGGCAGTTGATACAGACGTTGTCTCCGCTTAGCGTGTCAAGTGGTCTACGGCAGGCACTATCCATCGTTTGCCAGTAGATGTGACAGGAAGAGGGCCTTAAAGGTCGATACCTACAACCTCAAATGGCGTTGTAGGGCACGGAATTGTCTGCAGAGACCCGGCCGGTGCAGTTGTCTGGATTTTACGACGCTGGCCCGGGACACAGGAATCGACGTAGCACGCGATGCTAGTAGAAATACCAGGCCAGTAGAAGCGACTTCGAATGCGGTCATGAGTTTTTTGAATACCAAAATGTCTGGCAGTCAAGTCGTCGTGGAAGGCTTTAAGCACGTCAAGTAAAAAAGAGCGTGGTAGTACGGGAACTCAGCGTTGACAATCAGGGTGGTAGATGTGACGGTACAGATCTCCATTCTCTAGCTTGAATCGCAAGAGTTTACCACAATGCTTCGGGTTAGGTGGATGGGAAGTTCCTGAGAGCTGGTCCATAATACGTCTACAGTACGGATCAGACAACTGGCAGGAGTGAAATATGCGCTTGTCGTCCGAGAATAGCTGGTCTATTGAGGCGATCACGGGCGCTGCAGTAGAAGTGATGGCCGAACATGACCGATGCTGAACTGGGTATTTGGTGCCGGGCAGCGGGAAAGGGCGCCGGCGTCTTGGTGTTTTCTACCTTACTTGTAAATGATATCGAAATCGTACTCTTGTAAACGTAGAATCCACCGACCCAAGCGTCCAGACAAGTTCTTCAGTGTGGAAGGCCAACGTAGGGTGTGGTAGTCCGTAACGATAGTGAAATGATGGCCGTGGAGATAGAGACGGAACTTTTGCACTGACCAGACCACAGCCAAGCACTCCTGCTCAGTTATAGTATAGTTCTTCTCGGTTGCGGTTAGTACTTTACTGGCATATGCAACTACTCTCTCTTGTGAAGAGGTGTCGGTTGGAGCCGAACAGCACCTATACCACGGCCGCTAGCGTCCGTATGTAGGATGGTCGGTGCGGCCTCATCAAAGTGGGAGAGTACACGTTCGGACGTAAGGGCACACTTTGACAAGTCGAATGCCGTTTGACAATCTTCCGACCACAGAAAGGGCATGTCGGAAGCAAGAAGCTGGTGCAATTGAGCCGCAATTGATGCGAAGTTCTGGGTAAAATGGCAAAAATAGGAGGCGAGACCAAGAAAACTTCGCAACTCCTTCGGCCTTTCGCAGCGCGGAAATCGAAGCACCGCAGCAATTTTGTCCAAATCCGGCCGAATTCCGTCTTTGGCCACGATGTGGCCCAAAACCTTGATAGCTTTGAAAACTTTGAAGCTGATAACTCAACACCATAAAATGCCGTGGCGAAATGGCATTTTTTGTGTTGAGTTAGAGACCAGTGGCGGCAAGGCACGTCAGAACGTCATCCAAACGTTGCAGGTGCTGAGGAAACGTTGACGAAAAAATGACGATGTCTTCCAAATAGCAGAGGCAGGTCTTCTATTTGAGGCGGTGCAGCATGGTATCGATCATGTACTCAAATGTAGCGGGCGCGTTTCACAGCCCGAAAGGCATACCGTTGAATCCGCATAGCCCGTCGGGGGTTGCAAATGCCATTTTCTCTTTACCCTCTTCGTGTATAGGAATTTTCCAGTATCCGGAACGCAAGTCGAGGCTGGAAAAGTATTTCGCACCTTGTAGAGAATCAAGGGCGTCGTCAATGCGAGGCATTGGGTACAGATCCTTGTGAGTGACCTTGTTCAGTGCCCTGTAACGAACGAAAAAGTGCACGGAGCCATCGTTCTTAAGAACCAGAACCACAGGTGACAACCAAAGGCTAGATGAGGGGCGCTTTACCTCTTGTTTGAGCATGTCAGCTATGTTTTGCTCGATAATTTTTCTCTCAGCAGGAGACACGCGTACAACAGATGTTCCGACTGTGTGTATTCGATGCGTTGTAGTAGTCGTGCTGCCCAACGTCGAGGAGTAAACATCAAAGGAACTTGCGTGTTTCTTTAATAAAGCAAGCAGCTGTTGCGTCTGTAAAAGTGTCAAGTCGTCGCTAATGGCTGCAGTAAAGGCGGAAGAAGAAGCAGGGCCACCGTTTGGGCTGTCGTTGGAAGACGTCATGAAGTGGCACGACGCACGCAGGCTCAGGCTCCGTCACACAGGTCACCGTGGTGTTCTTAGGAAGTAGAATTTTTCAGATGTTGTATTCAAGGCAGTGACAAGTGCGGAACCATTGAGAAAATGAACTACACTGGAAGCGAGAATGATGCCTTTACCGACGCAACTAAAGATGGTGAGACCAAGACGTCGCCATGGTCGATGTCTTTGGAGGTAATAGTTACAATTCGCTCTTGACCTGGTGGTAATTCGGTATCTTCCGCAGCTGTCAAACGAAGTGACCTCTCGGTGTCGTCGTTGAGCGTGCAGTCCGTGTCGGTGAGGTGGACGACGTGTTGGCCACAGCAAATAGCCACAGCTGTTTGCTGATACGACAGAAAGAAAAGTGTCGTCTTCAAGGTCAGTGTTGGCATTTTCGACCAGTGCACGTGAAAGACAGTCGGCGTCAATGTGTTTCCGCCCAGATTTGTGGACGATGGTGACATCGAAATCTTGTAGCTGAAGGCTCCATTGTGCTAGACGACCTGAGGAATCTTGGAGATTTGCGAGCCAACAAAGGAAATGGTGGTCGTTAACTACCCTGAATGGGCAGCCATACAAGTATGGGGGGAACTTTGTTATGACCCAGGCAACAGCGAGGTATTCCTTTTCGGTTGAAGAATAGTTTTTTTTTCGCTGCGGATAACGTTCTGCTCGCATAGGCGATCACCCGCTCTACGCCATTATGCCACTGAACTAATATCATTTCTAGTCCAACGTTGCTGGCGTCAGTGTGTAAAAAATTCCGTGTCGGCGCTTTCGTCAAAATGACCCAGTACAGGTGGAGCCTGGAGAAGGTTTCGAAGGGTGTCGAATGTATGGCACTGATCGGACCCTAAACAAACGAGACACTGTCTTTTGTAAGCTTGTTTAGAGGTTCAGCATTCTTGAAAAAGTTTTTGACAAAGCGCCTGTAATATGCACAGAGCCCCAGAAATCGGCGTAGGTCGCGCTTATTGGTGGGCACGGGAAAAACAGCAACGGCATAGGTTTTCTCCGGATGTGTGTGGATGCCGGCATGACTCATAACATGACCAAGGAACTTCAGTTCTTCGTATCCAAAACGACAGTTCTCGGGATTGAGAGAAAACCCCGTTGTTTATAAGAACTGCCTTAAGGCGTTGAACGTGTTGTTCAAACGTGTCTACAAAGACTACGACGTCATCAAGGTAAACAAGACATGATTGCCATTCGAGCCGCGTGAGAAGCGTATCCATCATTCTTTGGAAAGTAGCTGGCGCTGAGCATAGACCGAAAGCCAACACTTTAAACTCGTACAGGCCGCCAGGAGTAATAAAAGCCATCTTTTCGCGGTCGCGCTCATCCACTGCGATTTGCCACTAGCCTCTACTCAAATTCATGGAGGAAAAATATTTAGCATTGCGTATACGGTCCAACGAGTCATCCATCTGGGGTAGAGGATAAGCATCCTTTCTGGTGACCTTGTTCAGTTTACGGTAATCAACGAAAAAGTGCGCTACGTACCATCCTTCTTTACTATAAGCACAACCGGCGAAGCCCAGGGACTGTTCGATGGCTGGATGACGTCGTTCTGAAGCATCTGCTGGACTTGGTCCTGTATAGCATCTTG